GTGCATAATTGCGAATTACTGGCAGTGAGTGCAGCACAGACTTGTCTGGTTGCTTCCTTTTCTGATATACAATCAAAAGCGTAAGCCAAATGATCTTTGGCTGCTTGTCTTATTTTCGACACAACATATGGATCTTTGTAGTCAAAACAAACATCAGCACCAAGCCCTTTCAAATAATCATGACGAGCGGATGATGTTGTAGTGATAACAAAACAACCAATTGATTTAACTAATTGAATAGCACACTGTCCGACACTTGTACTGCCTGACCAAACGAGAAAGTTGGCTTCGATTTTTGCGGGCGGTAATGGTAGACCCATTTCATGAAATATACCCAGAGCTGCTGTGATACTGACAAGTGGTAGTGTAACAACTGCTTCAGGAGACATTGTCGAAGGATAACGAAAAACAAGTGATGCTTCTTGTACAACATATTCGGAAAAAGCTCCACGGATACCAAATTCATGATCGAGACCACCATGAACACAACCAGCTACACGTTCACCTTTTTTATAGTTGCCTAAAAAGAAAAATAGCAGACACGATAGAAACATGTGTTTTAATAATTCATCAGATTTAATATTTGTAACATGTATTATAGGCGATTGCATAAAGGTCTTATGTAGTAATAATTATTCAGGCAAAAATGAATCTTATTTTTAATTATTATAACAAACTAATTTAAATTTTTTCACAGAAAAATGATTTGTTTCCGGCACAATCTAATTAAAATATTAATCTTATGAAATTTGTTTTAGAGATTTTCAATAGATTTTAAACTATTTCTGTTATTTCTGTCGGATTCAGCCGTAACAAACATGAAAGTACAATTTTTTATTCTTTTTATTGAACTCTTGCCATGGCAAACTGTGAAGATAGTATCAGATCGATCTTTAATTCCAATAGGTACAAACTTGTCTAAGTGGAAACAACAATAGATTCAATTTCGGGGAAAGATTGAATTTTTATTAAATATAATCTCTATTTTGTTACAGTATAATCGGATTTAAGTTTTCGATTAGTGCCCTAGCATATTTTAAATGGTCATCAATTTTTTGTCTGAGAATCGATCAAACAAAAAGAACAGTTTCTACATGTATCCGACATTCATGCAACCCTTGACTTGAATCAAGAAGAAAAGAAAAAAAAAGAGATCTTATAAGTATATAATTAAGGTTTATCTTCGTCATAAACTGTTAATAATGATGAGATATAGAGAATATCATTGATAATGTTTTCCTATCAAGAATATACGATAAGATTAGATTTCTTATTCATCCAGATTAATTTGAAACAGATTTAGAATCAGGAAACGATGATATAGAGAAAAAATTAAAAGTTGTGAGAAAAGAATCGAAAGAGAATGTAACGTAAGACAAATAAAGAGAAGACTAGAAGATGAAAAATAGTCTGATACAAGCACTACGGAAACGAGACAAGATATATCACGTAAAAAAAAGGAAAATGGTTGAAGAACATAAAGCATTGAGTTTCAGAATTTAATTTCATAAATTAATTATCTACGCACAAAAGTTTTTCATATTTGACATACATCCAACTCTATAACCTTTTTTTTTTCAAAAGGAAATAGAAAGTGTCACTCTTCACTGACATATGATAGAATATAAACAGGATATCTTCAACGCTCATTTCAAGTAGTCTATTAAAAGGCGAAGGAATCTATAAACTTTTGCACAATCCATTATCATCTTACAATATTTCAAGTAGCAAGAAATATCTTCACTCTTTAAAATTCAAATATTTTGAGAGTAAATTGCAATTAATAGAAAATCTAATTCTAATCAATGAAACAAATTCTAAAAAAATTTTCTTTCAAAAGTCTTATTTTCCAGAAGTCTGTCGATAAAATCTTTGAATAATAATAAGAAAGCATATTTATATACTTACCAACAGCCTCTTTGCCTACTTTGACAACTATACCACTAAAATCACAACCAACAATAGATCCAGGTTTGGCAAGACCAAAGTGAACATGTTTCCAGTCTGTCGGATTCTGTGCAACATGAGTGACTTTAATTAGGAGTTCGTTAGATCCGTATTTAGGCAACTAGATAAATAACGAACAAATCATTTCCCATTCATTTGACAAACAAAACTTTAACTCACAGGAAGTTCTTCGACAACAAGTTTTTTCTGCTCATGTACGACTAAAGCGATTGGCATGCTGAATATTTATGAAGATGCTAATGGAAAATTGAAGAATAAAACAAGTGACTATCTTTTTCTTTCTCTCGAGATACGTACTTCCTCTATGTTGCCTATTTTCTTACTCTTTCTACCACTATTTTGTGTCTCTCTATTTTCTATTCTATCCTTCTTTTAATATGTAGGTTAGTTTTTTTTCCAGAGACTAACATATTTTATGTAATTACTATAGACGTGTGCCTATTCTAAGATTCTGGAATTTTCATAAAATTCTGAGTTTATTTTTTTGTCACATATGAATTTAAACCACAATGGTCGCATATAACTCAGAAACTAAAATAATTAGAATTAGTGGAGGTCTAGAAGGATCCTAATCAAAGAAACTCTGATATTATTGTAACTTTTGAATGTATTAAATGCTTGCTGTTCTTATAATTATTGTGCAGGCGATATATTAGTGAAAAGATTTGTTTGTCGAGCAACAGAGTTAGTACTTGCTGGAATCACCTCACGCATATCATCTGAATATACTCTCGATAAATGATGGTTAATAGGTCGATCATACTAGATATTTCATCGAAATATACCGTTGGTCGACAGCATCATATGAGTAATATAACGAAAATGGTACCGAAAAGAAAAAAAAGAAACAAAAATTTTATGCTGGTTTTGGACCGTGATATTTCACGCTATTCGTTTTTGCTCAGTAAGATATATATTCTTTCACTTGAATGAAAATTTGGATTTTTTCCTATATAGAATCAGATGTTTGCAAAGCTCTATAAGAAATCAGCTTGATACAGCAAATTACATCCGTGACAAAGGAAGTCTTGTGACGACGTGTCTATAATGTCTTCTCATTGCATTGATGCAGTCTAACAAATATGTTTTACCGAATCTCCCAAAAATGTTCTCCGAGGTGTATAGAATCTAAAAAAAAAGAGTTTTTAAATTTTGTACACCTCGGAAAAGATTTTTTAGGGTTCGGTAAAACACCTGTTTTTTTAAAGTGTGGAGATGATGGCACTTGGAACTCACAGGTCCGTGAGCTACTTCGATGATTTTATGGAAGTTTCGCGATTCAAACGTGCATTACGAAGGCTGGATAATGAGAGAGCCACTCTGCAGATTGCTTTAGAGCAATTAAAGAAAGCAATCGGTGATTAGCGAACAGCAGCAAAGTCAAGTCAAGCATCATTAGGTGCACTGGCTAAGCTTTGTAGTGTATTCTTCCAGAATTCCTATGTAAGTTACTCAATTTTCAACAGGCAAAAACTTTTGCCGATTAGAATGTGATATGGTAATAATACACAGAGTCACACTATCCCGTTTATACTATCATTGATGCTATTAGGATAGTTCAGTTGTCAGAGATATGTCTAATATGTTAAATAAACGATTTATGTTCTGTCTGACGAATGTAACCTAGCAAAAACCATAAAAAGATGACTTAACAAACAAAAAAAAACGAAAATGTTTGTTAACTAAACTATTTCTTGATTATAATGATGTATCCTAATGTTAGTCATCTTTATTTCAGATCTAAATCAGAGTGTAAGCATAAAAAAGTCTCTCCGTTAAATCAAATCAGCAATGTTCATGGGCAGTTCTTCAATTTGTGTATTATAATAATGTTCAATGTCACGTAATGGTTGTCGTTCATCATTGGTAACGAAATTGATAGCCATACCTTTTCGACCGAATGCACCACTACGTCCAATACTTAACCAAAAAAAACAAAATTCATTTCCTCGCGACATTATTGATTCTTACCGGTGGATATAGCTATCACGATTAGTCGGTAGATCATAATTGATAACAAGACCAACTTGTGGAATATCAATATCACCCCCAAGCATATCTGTTCTTACTAAGATTCGAGTAGAACCGGTTCGAAATTCTTGTATGGCATCATTACGTTGTTTTACATCCATATTAATATGCTACAATGAAGAAAAACCAATTCGTATCTCAATGTATGACTTTACAATTAGTTATTTTAAAATTATCATCGTAAAACTGACCAGAGAAGACACAATTGAATTACGCGTACGTAGTTTTTCAGTTAACCAATCGACCTTTCGGCATGTATTACAAAAGATAACAGTTTGTATAATCGTTAATGTATCGAACAATTCATATACCGTATCTAATTTTCGCTCCTGGATAAAAAACAATACTGCATCAGTTCATCATCATAGAATGAGAAGTATGTTTATCTACCTCACGTTCGACATTCACATAAAATTGACGAATACCTTCAAGTGTTCGTTCTTCTTTTTTGATAAGAATTTTCACAGGGTTATTAATAAATTTAGTTGTGATTTCGAGTAAATCATAGGGCATCGTAACTGATAGAAGAATGACCTGAACATTTGGAGGTATCATTGTAAATAGGTCATAAATTTGCTCTTTGAAACCACGAGATAAAATCTCATCAGCTTCATCCAATACGAACATTTTGATATTTTCACTATCTACGATGTGAAGGAGGATAAAATGCGATACATGCAAGACATAAATCACGTACGAAGTGCTGATCTTTTCAACATATCATAGGTTCGACCAGGTGTACTAACAACAACTTGGACACCTGCTTCGAGATGTTTCATATCCTCGCGAAGATTCATGCCACCAATACAAGCATGACATGTCACATTTATATGTTCACCTAGTGTTAAAACTACTCTATGGATCTAAATTACAAACAGAATCAATAAGTTGATAAGAAACAAAGATTACACTTTAGAGAAAATAATACTCCTTGAGCCAGTTCACGCGTTGGTACCAGAATTAATGCTTGACAGTCTTTGCAGTCCACGTTGAGTTGTTGTAAAACTGCAATGATGGAGGTTATCGTTTTGCCTGTACCTGATTGTGCTTGCACAATTACATCATAACCTTTAAGAAGAATGAATATTTATTGAATATATTTCAGTTTTAGAGAAATAACAGAAAACGAACCGGAAATACACGGACTCAGAGCACGTTGTTGAACATCCGAAGGACGTTCGAGACCATAGCCGTAGATACCACGTAAAAGTGGTTCTCGTAAGTTCATCTGATCGAAATGTTCGATTACTTTTGTCAAGCGATTTAGGGTGGTTTCGTCTCGTGGAAAAGATGGTTTGATCTCATGACGTTCCTGCGAAAGGACGTCTGTGCTCGCATTCTGGTGAGTGTCATTCCTAAAAACAAATATCAATGATTCAATACGTGAGTCTTTCGAAAATTAACCTGCTCGTGACGTGACTATAATGAGGGTGTGGGTGTCGAAGAAGTAAGCAATCACACCGCCATCCACACCCTCCTTTTCTTAGAAAATTATCAAACATAGTACGAACAAATACTCTCGTTCTTTGTCCACAAGTTAAGTAAGAATATATAAGAAACAATACATACTCTAAAGAAGATGTGATTTCGCAGTCGTTTGCTTTGCTTTTCGTTTGACTATCGCTCATAAATGAAGATAAAAAAGTAATGTATTTGAAATGCAATTGATCTACAAAGAATCAAGAATATAATCATTCGGCAACCAATCAAAAGTTGACTCTGAATCATCATCATTTATATCCCATTCAATACACACGTTGAACAAGGAAAATTCGATCATCAAACAACTGCTCTTTCAAAAAGAAAAAAAAGCAGACTATATAAGACGAATGCATATAGATGATTGTAATTGCGAAATTTCTCAATGAGTAGAAATGAGTCACAAAATATGAAGATCCTTCAGAAACGAAACAACCAATCGTTTCAACGATTCCAAATGAAAACCGATCGAAGTTTTACATAATAAAACTGCAATATTTTAAAGCTATGATAATTGTAATACGACAAAATAAAGTTTTCGATCTCATATTATTTTCTGTTACTCAATCTTTCTTTTGCCGCCGAACGCTACAATCTATCGTAATGGAACATCCAATAGTGTGCTCGAGTTATTTCTGCGTGATCTTGAAAAAACACTTCGTTGTTTTTCTCTCCTCATTAATTTCATGACCTTTTACTATGGCAAATACTGCAAATCGTCTTCATTATCAACCATACTTTGATGGATAACTATATACAGGTTGTTCACTTTATTTTGAAACAATTTGCGTGCAGTTTTTCTTCATTACTAAATAAGTCAGATCTAACCGTTCTCATGTTAGTTTATCTGCCTAACACTGAAGATGCTTTCACGATATTTATATTTTAGATAAACGAATGCCTCGTAATAAAATATCTTTTGACATGTCCATAAAGTTATCAGCATATTCGAGCATTTTTAAAAAATATTCGATTCAGGAGTTGTCCTGGTCAAATAAATAACTGTCCTGAATGCTGAATTGAATTTCGGTTCGAATGGTCGTCTCAGATAACCAATAAAAAATCATATAGTGCCACAAAAAAAATTAAAATTACTTTTTATGCCCGAAAAATAGAGCTAAAATGCGTAATTTAGCATAATATTCAAAATACTACCTGTCCCACTAAAACAAATGACTGTCCTTGATAGAGAATTAAAGTCTACATCGATTGATAGCCTCCGATTATTTCCAAAAAATCAGTAAGACCCTCAAAAAAATCAAATACTTTTCAATGAAAGATCTCTAGAGACTACACACCAGAATATTCGCAAAGATATGTATTCCGACCAGATAAATCAGTGTCCCCGATAGAGAGTTAAATTCTACATCGATTTATAGTCTCTCATTAGTTCCAAAACACCAGTAAGACCCTCAAAAAAATCAAATACTTTTCAATGAAAATTAAAGATATATATTATAAATTCGATGATATGCATCATAAAGGGGTCTTCGAGTACGACAGTGCCGATTTTGCAGAAACTGCAATTTACTCAATAATGTCCTAAGATTATCTTTGCGTGTGACACGTAATTTCTATGATGTCCAAATACGTTTATTTAAAAAATACCTAAATACTATTCGTAAATTCACTAATTCAGGTATATATTTTCTGTCTTCTCTTTAAAATCTTATTTTCATTCTAATATTTGTATGCTGCTTTGATTCGTTATTTGTCTTTTAGCTTATCTATTCTACTTTACAATGGAAGAGTGGTTTTCTTTAAAATTATTAGAATTTATATTTAAAATAAAATAACATAAAATTATGATATAAAAAAAATGGAGTTATTTTTAAGTTTTTTTAAATTTAGTACATCTAATAATTTTAATATAAATAAATTGGCATTCCTCACTACCAGATAAATATTGATCTTTGTACCTACTTCTGCTTTTTACAATAAGATATATCAAGACAGAGATTTACAGAGTATACTATCTATCTTTGACCTCACTATTGATTATAGCAGACTCTCTAACTGTCGTTCCAGCTAGAAACAAAATTAATAACACCGGTGACAATCAACATAATTTTAAGATAAAACAAATGCATGTCATTAATTTCCGTCATCATAGTATAACAGATCA